ATGAATAATGAAAAAGAATAAATGCCAATGGAATATGATCTCATATTTCTAATAACAATAAATAGCCTCATAAGAAGAGTAGAAATTTCAGTACAATTCTAATGGTGATGATAGATGGACATTTGTTATCAATCAATGAAACTACACAAAGCAAAATATATCCCCCAAACGAGTTCAATATTAATAGCGAATACAAGTATTTATCATCAAATCTTACAATTCCTTTTGGCATTCCCGCATAGGAAGATAAACAACATATTTCCCATATCAAAAAATAAGCTTAACACCTAAAATAACAATCAAGTTTCACAAGATTCCACAGGACTGCAAGGCTATAAACTTGATAATTAGGATCAAACAGTAGCATATATATTGTATCAATTTCTTCTTAATACTTCGGAAGATCTTATAGTTAGGAACCAAGGACATTATTTTAGCTGCGGTTACAACAGGATACGGCTCAGCAACTACTTTCTCCGAATTATATATTAACTCAAGCGAATTCATGTTTACATTCATACACACATATGCAAATAAAAAAGACAGTAAGTGGAAATTCATGCATCTGAATGAAAATATAGAAGTGGAGATTCACACACAGACGCACATATAAATCAATAAGTGGAAATTTATGCATCTAAATCAAAATATATAAGTGGAGATTCATACACATAATACAAATACATATATAATCTGTCAGAAAATATTGAAATCAGGAATTAATTAATTACCATTGTTAGGACACCATTCTTCAGGTCCTTCTTAAGAAGAGCAACCTTCTTCCCCGATTCCGGTATTAGATCGATGCTCCCGCAGTACAACCTGCCGTAGATTTCTTGCTCCCATTCTTTCCGGGCTTCACCTTTGACGAAAACGGTGTCATTCTGAAGCGATACCTCCATGTCCTCTTCCTCAACGCCAGGCATGTCCACTCTTACATACAAACCCTCCTTCACTGCCTTAGCCTCAAACCCCTCTCTTGGCCCATAAAAATGAATACGGTTCTTAACATAATCACTCTCTGAACACATACGAAAATTGAACAAATATTAAACACAACAAAAATATGTAAAAACAGAGTCAGTGGTAGTGAATGAAAAGAGTTTTCTCTGAATGATATGCATGTGTGTGTGTGTATTATATAAATACATATACACACATTTGAGAAGGTGAACGATCGTACCCGCCACAAGGAGGTTGCAGGGGGCGACGCTGTCAGGACTTCCGGTAGGAGCGGTGGTGTAGAAAAAGTCAGAGGTGGTGGTGGATCTGCTGGAAGCCATTGATGCACAGAGAGAGAATGAAATCAATAAGGGATTAAGGAGGGTTTACAATGTTGGTTAGCTCAGCTCTAGAGAAAGAGATGGTGGCTCTTAGTGCTGAGACTTAGATATATAGTACAGTATATATATATATTGATCTCATCTCTGGTTAGATTAATTAGTTAATTAAATATTATTTAATTAGTAGTAGTATTTAGAGTTCTGATATTGTTTTGGCGGGCATAAAATCGAAAATGGTGTTTCGTATGGACGTACGGAGATTAGCAGGTTGATCATGCCACGTGTCGCGTGAGAATTTGTCAAGGTTTTTTACCCAGCTGTATGTGGTTGTAAAAAGTAAAAAGTAATTCGAAGGTAAGCGACCTCGCTTCTTCTTTGGCGACAGGGTGAGTTGGGTCCCACCTTTTTTGTTTGTTTCCCGCAGCGCAGGATACGGCTCCGTGGGTCCCATATAAACAGTGAAATTTCCCGGGCAAGCCCAATCAAAATCGTCTGTGATTACGCATATTATACGCACCATGAGCTCTCTATCCCCAGTTTATTAGCATCTCACTATTTCGCTGCTTCAATTTCCTAAAAGAATAAAACAATTTCTAGGAAATTGGAAAAGATTATGTGCTCTGACTTTAATAACCTTGATAGTTTTATTTTTTAAACCATAAGATAGGTTCATATTAATTAAATATTGAAACAGAGCAATTCTGTGTAATTTTGTTATATTATTTAAATCAACAATATATGTTGAATGTTGATTAAAACAATGAGTACTTAACAATTTCCTAAAGTCAAATTCTGATGCCTTATTCTTCTTCTAACTTTTTTAAATGCAAGTACATGGTGAGGATGGAATTGGCAGTTGACAATACATGATATGGCTAAAATCTTAAAAGCCCCTTGTTCTTTACAAAAACTATTTATTAACCCCTTCAGATACACAAACTATTATAATACTTCTCAATATTTTTTAAAAATATATCATAGCGCCCCTTTTCGTTAGTTAACCGTTTGGCACGTGACCGTCACGTGCACCATCTACCCTAATATAATGACGGAATTATCCTTGTATGGAAGGAAATGACGAAATTACCCTTCTATCTTTTTATCTTCTTCTGTCATTTTTTGTTTTTTTCGTATCTTCTTCTTCTCTGTCGTTGCACTGGTGTGAGGAATACTCCATAGAAGATCTCAGGTATCTTCCTTCTTCTCTTCTTCTTGTCTGTCGTTGCACTGGTGTGAGGATTCTCCATAGCAGCAGTTACAGAACCCTAATTGATCTATTAAATTCTCCCATTGATGATTTGAAGCCCTAATTGATCTATTGAAGTCCCCAATTGATTATTTGAAGCCCTAAATCGCAGCCATTGTGTGCCCTATTTGAAGCCTAAACCACAATCAGCCGAAACCCAAATGTCTTCATCCACCACATAATCTGTTAATCGGCCAAACGGTGATCTGCGACGACGAGACATGCGTGCCGGCAATCATGCAGAGACTAATGAAGGCATCAACTGCGGCGACGGAGCATGGGATTGTGGTGCTCTGGAGCTATGATATCTGTCCCACGATCAGACGACGCATGAGGCGGTGATTTTCAAAATTGATATCTTTTCTAATTGCCATTTTAGAACTGGAAGAAATGGGATTCAAACCAGAACCTAATTCATGGAGTATTTTGGTTGAATTGATAATTGTGAATATGTATATAATTACTATAATTGTGTATATAATTCCTATAATTATATAATTACTATAATTATATTTATACTTACCTATTATATATGCACACCGGTGCTCTTCGGCGCTATAATTCGGTGCTCTTCGGCGCTATTATGGCAGGGATGGAATGCCTATTCTATATATATATATATATATATATATATATATATATATATATCCTGGAGGAAGGGGTGTGAAAAAAAAAAAAAAAAAGTTTGACAATGCCAAACCACGTCGTTCATGAACCCTACTAAGGACAAAATTGTCATTTTAAAAATAACACATTTTACTTTTAAATAAATATTAATATACTATCAAGGGCATTTTTGTCATTTCACAGGCACTTAACGGTTCTCTAACAAAATGGGGACAATGTGATAATTTATATTATATTAGGGGTTTTTTTAATACTCTAGGGGATTAGTAGATAGTTTCAATAAACAACAGTGGAGTTTTTAGATTTTAGCCCTATAGGATAATTGACCTATAATCATTTTATAATTAGAAATGCTACTCAAAAGAGGGGTAAAAAATGACTAATAAATATTGATAATATTGTCATTAGCTTTAATTTTCATTAATTTTTAAAAGCATCGACCACCTTTTATATTAGCACAATGGAGAATACAATTACAAATAAATTTACAAAAATTTACAATTTTTTCTTTAATAAACAAAACACCTCATATTACATCAAAATCATTATTTTATTTATTTTCTAATGATAACTCCACCATATAATCTAAAGTCCACACAATATTCACCATGTACAAATGCACCGAATTGATACTTTGAATTTAGATTAAGAGAAAGTTATATTTAAAATTTGTACTAAATATTTTTAATCTCAAATTCAAAAAATTGATTCAGTGCCGCCAAAGTATTCTTCTAATTTTTTTTTATTAATATACCAACTATGTGACAGGACTTATACCTTGGGCCTCAATCCCTAAACTCATGGTTAATCAGACAATACAAGCCTATTCATCCTTTAATATAGAGAATACACATTATGAATTCTTTTTAAGTATTTTTTTATTCCTTTAGCAACTAAGGGACATGACTTGTTATAACCTTGGGCTCAATCCCTAAACTCATGGCCAATCCAAACTGAGACAATATATACAATCCAATTCATCCATTGATATAGAGAATACTACAAGCAAGTAATAATTAATTATTTGTACTAATTGAAACGTGTTAAACAAACTCAAGTTTTTTTTATAAAAAAAAAAAAAAAAAAAACTAATTTCATTTTAAACTTCAGTCAGAAACTACTACAGTTGTATACACTCCTCATAGTTCAATATATATTCTCAAACATTCTGCTTCAATCAAAACCCTAGGACACTGAAAGAACCCTAAACCAGAGGTGACATATTCACTAGACAGAAAAGCCATAGCAGTATACTACAGTCTCATACTCCATTGGCAACACCATTCACTCGACCTTAACCTGAAACGCATCCTTCCTCTCTTCTTCCTTCACTTTGGGAACCACAAGTACCTTCAATACCCACCCCTTTCTTCATCACAGCCTTGATTTTCATGGATCATGTAGAAATTGGGAGGAAGCTGATAGAGCCTGCTGTAGAAATTGACCAAATTAATTTGTTGACCAGATTATATAATTTCGTTTATAAATATTTTTCATTCTTGGAATATATATTTAGCATTGAATCTACTAAGCAGCGATGATTTCTCTCAATTATAATTTATATTCTACCTCCCAAGTTCCCAACACTGCTGTAAACTACTCTATTATGAATATATGATATAGTATTTGTCCTTACACACATATAATTATATATGTACCTTGGCCAAATAGAGACATGTCATGAAATCACAAAAGTAGTATTTTTCAGAGCTCAAACTGAAATGTCACAGTTACAAATTGCAAAGTTGTTTTTGTTTCTTATTTTTACTTTAATGTGAGTCTATAAATGTGACTAACCAAAACAATATATATATATATATATATATATATATATATATATATAATTTGACCATTATTTACTGTTAATTAATCATTTTCAAATAAAAAAACAAATTGAGTTAATAAAATTAAAAAAAAAAAAATAGAGCTTTTCTTATTATGAAGAAAGTGTAATTTGAAGTAATTAAAAAGGGTAGAAGAAAAGGAAATAAGATGTTGAGAACCATAAGTACTCATAGTAAACGAGAAATTTTATTTACTCCTTGGAACCAGGTCCGCTAAGCAAACACTGGTTCATTTTCAAATTTCCCACAGAAAAAATTGTCATTAAACAAACAATGCATTTCTATCTTCACAACCCACAAAGATAATAAAGAAAAAAAAAATGTAAGAAAAGATAAATCTCACTGGCTATTAAATACAGTATTAGTTGGAATCAGAAAAAACTAATTAATACTCCATGGTATTCCATTAATTCTGAATAGTCATAGTCATCATTATATACTAAGTAATACAGAAGCCCAAACAAAACAAACCCACAGCTCATAGCCTCATACTCTAGTGTTTATATATATATCAAGAAAAGAGGTGAACTGAGCATTTGGACGAGTGAATTAATAGGGATCAACGATTAAAACGGAAGACAATGCGGAGGACACCGTTTTGTATGACGACATTGATACTATCTTTGACCACATTCGCCGGAAAGTAAACCTTTTCGGAATACACTCTCTTTTCCACCTCCTCCTCATCTTCATCTTCATCTTCATCAATGCTCTCTACTCCTTGGAATACAAAGTAGTTTTTTTCCTGCCAGAACTTGAGACCCTCCTTTCCAACGCCGGGCATGTCTACTCTCGTATAGGCCTTATCTCCCTGCACCAAACCGAAGAAGGGGCTTGGTGGTCCCTCTCTGATGAATGGGTGTTTTGTGCTCTCCAACAGCTCAAAATACTCTACAATAATATATTATATATACACAACATACAATTAATAAACATTGTTACATACATATATATATATATATATATATATATATATATATATATATAATGGTGTGACATCGATTAATTCATTTACTAATTTAACTTGGTATTAGCTAGTAGTTGGATCTATTGAGCTTTTCCCAGAGAGAGAACTACGTACCAAGACTTCGTTTGACCGTTTCTTCGTCGGGGCCGTTGGGCGGATCTCCGGTGCGGATAGAACGAGCGACGAGGTATCGAGTGGAGACGGCCATCGGCGGTGAACGGTTCAGACGGAGTAGATTTGTGAAGAAGAGGGTTGAACCGGTTGCCCTGCTTGCAAGGGGACTGGAGACGGCCATGGATCAATTTCTAGGGTTTCTGTTTGTGCTATGAAACTTTTGTTAAATCCTCGAGAGAGAGAGAGAGAGTGGTGGTCCTCTCCGTACACGTGTCGACTTTCAATTAATGGAATTTTGAAATTTTAAAAAAAGCCTTGGTATCTTTTCGGGTGTATGTGCTCATAAGCTCTCTATTGTACGATTTTGCGAACCAGCTTTATGCCACTGGCCAAATGGTAAATGGACCGGACTATTACAAATTTACACATGTAAACTATATCCTATATTATTATAAACATGCTTGTAGCTATTTTTATATTATATTATTATTATTATTCTAACATGCTTGTAGCTATTTTTTTTTTTTTTTTTACATTATTTAAACCTTACCCAACACGAGTGATTAGGCTATACTATAAATCTTGACTGCCAAAAAACATTTGAGTTATAATAATATGTAAAATACATAGTAACCATAAAGATGAAAAAAAGCTTTTCGTAGGCATATATCTTGTATTAGAAGTTGTAATTTGCAATAGTAATAAGCATGTAAAACTACCTATTATGATGTATGGATACCAGCCCAGTCACAAATATTGTTATTAGTTGTTAATTCATATGTATGAGACCATCAAAATCCAATGGTTGAGGAACCATGTCCACTAAATAAACACTAGTTCATTTTCAGATTTCCCTCGGACAAAATAGTCACTAAACAGACAATGAATTTCTATCAACACAACCCATTTCTATCAGCACAACCCACAAAGATTTAAGTAAACAAAAAAAGGTATGAAAAGATAAATCTCAGTAGCTATTAAATATTAAATATCAGTCAGTTAGGAATCAGAAAAGACTAATATGGTATTCCTTTAATTCTTGAATGCTCATAGTCATACACATGGAGATTATGTAATACAGAAGCCAAAACAAAACAAACCCACAGCTCATAGCGTCGTACCACAACCACAAACTCCTCTCTCTATATATATTATATGAAGGAAAGAGGTGGAGTGAACATTTGGATGAGTGAATTAATAGGCCGGATGAATGCAAGGATTAATTAGACGGAAGGCAATGCGGAGGACGCCGTTTTGTATGACGAAATTGATTCCATCTTCGAAGACATTCGCCGGATCAATCAACAACCTATCTGAATACACTCTCTTCTTCACCTCCTCATCATCTTCATCAATGCTCTCTACTCCTTGGAATACAAAGTAGTTTTTTTCTGCCCATAACTTCAGACCCTCCTTCCCAACGCCGGGCATGTCTATTCTCGTATAAGCCTTGTCGCCCTGCATCTCAAAGCAGACGGGGCTTGGTGGTCCCTCCCTGATGAATGGGTGTTTTGTGCTCTCCAAGACCTTGTAATATTCTACATCCATCATATAATTACTAATAAACAACCAAACAACAATAAATGCATATATATATGTGTGTGTGTGTGAGATCGATTAATTGATTTACTAATATTAACCAGCTTTTTCAAGAGAGAGAACTACGTACCCAGAGTTCGTTTCACAAATTCTTCGTCGGGATAGTTGGGTGGAGTAGTACGGAAAGAACGAGCGACCAAGTATCGAGTAGCGGCCACCATCGGCGGTGAACGGTTCAGCAGGATTAGCTTTGTGAAGGAGAGGGTTGAACCGGTTGATCTGCTTGCAAGGCGACTGGAAATGGCCATGGATCAATTTCTAGGGTTTCTGTTTGTGCTCTGAAACTTTTGATAAGATATGTACAGGACGGAGGACAATGAGAGCGAGAGTGGTCGTTGTATATGCAGATGAAAAGTATCACAGAGTCTGGACACGTGTCGATTTCCAATTAATGCAATTTTGAAATTAGAAAAAGAACTTGGGTTATCTTCTCGCGTGTAGTACGATTTCCTGACCAGCTTTATTGATTTTAAAAAATAAAAAAATCATCAAATTATGTTCTAAGAGACCATGCTATAATTAAGGGTAAAGTGCATTAAACCCCTTGAATTATTGGTTATTGGCAAGAAACCCCCTTAAGCTATAAAAAAACTCTCATGAATTATGATTTTGTTACAATTTACTCCCTTGAACTATTAGTCATTTGCAAAAAATCCCCTTAAACTACAAAAAAACCCCTTGAACTATTGGTCATTTACAAGAAACCCCTTAAATTATAAAAAAAACTCTCATGAATTATGATTTTGTTGCAATTTACTCCCTTGAACTATTGGTCATTTGTAAAAAACTCCCTTGAATTACAAAAAAACCCCCTGAACTATGATTTTGTTGCAATTTACCCCCATGACATCAGCTTCCGGCACTGAAAATTTTGAAAGACCAGTTTACCCTTATAACACATTGCGTCGTTTTAACTTGTACACTTCTTACATTTATTCTTTTTCCTGCCAAAAGATGTTTTTCACCCAACACAACCCAAAACAGAGAACTAGAGAGAGAGAGAAGAGACCAAAGAAATTCGAGGTCGGCGGGATGGCTCGGTCTTGGATGATGGCGGCTTGTGCGCGGAGGACTCGACTGTGAACTATGGAGGCAGCAGTGAGCTCAAGGGGGCTCGGCGGTGAACTGTGGACGGCTGTGTGCTCGAAACACGGACGGCGATGTGCTCGGCTATGGAGATGGTAGAATGGGCTGACGAGCTTGGAATGGATGGTGGAATGGACCGGCGAGCAAGGTGAGCTGAACGGCGGGCAAGGTGGTGACGACGCTGGGCTGACTCAACGGTGACTCAACGGTGCAGAGAAGTGCGATATATATGGCCGACGGATCTGGCGAGTGGTGCAACGGCTATGATGGAGCTATGACAGGAGACCCACCGGAAACACTCCTCAGACGACATCTACCACTCCGATCCCAGCCACAAATTCCTCGGCTTCATCGTCCCTTTCAGTCAATCAATTCGCGTGGATGGGGCAAACTGCAAAAAAAAAATATAGTTCAGGAGGGTTTCTTGCATATATCCCAATAGTTCAGCGAGATTTTTTGTAACTTTTATAGTTCAGGGGGTTTCTTGCACATACCCCAATAATTCAAGGGGGTTTAATGCACTTTACCCTATAATTAATAATCATTCATAATGAGAGTCCACACAATAGCTGTATGGCTAATTGACAATTATAATTTGTCTTCAAATAAAATTGTAATCTGAAATTTACACTACTAACACAAATCAAAGGCTTCTATTATTTTATACAAGCCTTCACCATATAAAATGTGCATCATGAAAATAATGTACTGAAACTTGATCTAATTTTACCATCATCTGGATTAAGAAATGCTCCACCTAAATCTATGAATACCTGGATTAACTATGAAAAGCATATACATTTTTTTCTACAAATCTTGACTGCCTATAATAATAGGGTAAAATACTTGTAACTAATTCTCAATTTACAAAGATCAATAAAACTATGCGTGTAAAAGTATTTATTATGATGTATGGATATTAGCTGTCACAAGTATTACCCACTGTAAAACCGCAAAATTAAACCGTTGAGGAAAGGCAATCCTACAGTCACAACTATTACTTGTATTTCTTTCTTAAAAATATTTCTAAATATCAAATACTTCTATGTCATACAAAATAATAACAATAATAATAAAAAGACTTTACTCTATTAACCATCATCACCACCATGAATGAAAAGTCCAAAAAAAGTACTCCATACATACACAACACACCTCAATGCTAGTGTTTAAGGCTACACTAGAGAAATCTTGAGTAAAATAAAAGAAAATCACTTGAGTTATTTTCTGGAATATACACCATACCAACGACATTAGAAGAGTCCACATAACATGTTTGTAGCTAATTGGCAATTACAAAAGTGTGAATATTTCTAAAAGTACAAATTTTGTCTTCAAAATTGTGATGTGTAATTTATACTGCAACTACAACACATCAAAGCGTCAATTATTTATAAATTATGCTTTCATGCATCTATTGTACTCAAATTTGACCTAATTTTACAATAATCTGAATTAGGAAGAGCTTGACCTAATATTTATAGACCTCAACGCAAGTGATCAGGCTATAATAGAAATTTTGACTACACAAAGACCATTGAGTTATTTACAGGATATATAGAGACCATACTGTATAAATCATAAAGGAAATAAAATGTATTCCTAGTTGTACTACACAATCCGGGAACTCTATGGGAAAGCAAGAGCTGTTTGTCATATCTTTCGTGAGCAAACAACCAACATAATGACAAGACCTTTTACTAATCCATCACAATATACATGTAGAAAATGACGAGTAATTATCATTTTAAAAGTTAGATATTGCTATATATATATATATATATAATAATGACCACATATTACCCAAGCACCAAAACCCTCATAAATTATTCATATTGAGGAAGGCACAGCCATAAAACCATCCTAGGACGAGCCAAGCAAACAAAGAAAACTACACCAGATCAAAATCTATAGCTAAATTTGATTTTGATAATAAAAATAATAAAAATAAAAATAAATAATAATAAATAGCACCTTGTCTTACTACTATCAGTGGACACTTCCTTTTTCACCACTTTACATATCATTTGCATATTTCTAATTCACAAAGAAGTTATAACAAAGATCACACACAGAGACCAAATCAGACAGAGTACAAGATTTTTATGTTCCCATTCCCAAGTAGCAACAAGAGTACCAAACACCAAAATCACAAGGTATTTAACAAGGCACTGTCATAGCCAAACTATCTGTAATACGCATAGGAAGGCATACCAGGAAAACCCAAACATATATACTATATATATAGAAGAGACTCAGACCTGCCCAGAAACCCCAAACATACATCATCAGCTACTGCAGATAGCTTAGCTCTTAAATTTTGCTTTTGACACCAACATCCTAAGCACACCGGCTTTCACCTCAGTTTTGACATCAGTGATGTTACAGCAATCGCAGCTGAAATGGAAGCGGCCTAAATACCTCCTCTTTTCATTATGCTCCGATTCTTCGCTGTCAGAGGCAAAAATCACTTCTCTATTGCGAAACTTGTGGCACAGACGTCCCTTGCTGACACCAGGCATGTCTTGCCGCAAAAAGACATGGTCACAGTCCATTACCCTCGCCTCAAAGGCTCCATTAATTCCGCCAACTTGGAATGGATAATAGCATGCGTATTTGTCTGTATCACAAACAAAAACATGTAGATTATACACACAAACACAGAACTAAAACAAATAGCAAACCATAAATCAGACCTGGAGGTTTAAGAATATGAAAAGTCTAGTAGTAAGAGAGAAGATGGTCCCGGATGCGACACCAACCACCAGGCAATTCAAAATTGTTTTTGGAAAATTGAGCGATGGTCGTGGGGGAGAAGTTTGGGTGGAAGCCACAAGCATCCAAGACCTGTATGCAGTCGTAAAGAGGTTATATGTTGTCAACTTCAATTGAGTTAATCAATTAAAAAATAGATCAGCTGGGGAACAAGTGTGACATCAACCACAAGCATTCAGTCACAACAGAGGTTCACCTGTCCATTGTCATAATAGAACTTAGTGTCACTGCATTCAAAAAATGAGGTTACATGACTCAATATCAAGATTCTGAATTCCTTTGTGAATATTTCAAGATACACTGGTGAAAACACTATATACACATATTATATCTATTTTAGCTTGCTAAAAACTAAAGAATTGCATCCATATTTCAAGTACATCATGAAAATCTATTGAATGAAACAATAGCAAAGCTCTTAATCACATAATTATTTCTATGGTAAAAATATATTTATACCCAGTGAGATCAATAGCCTGCAAACAGCTAGCTCATGATTCTCAAACTAAAATTCAATCAAATTTTATAAACTAAAAAGAAAAGAAAAAGAGAGGCCGCAATTTGAGCTTTAGGCATGAAATGCAAATTCTCTATTTACATGGAGTATAAATGGTTATCTTATATAGGAATATTATGCTCTAGTTCTATTGAAGACCAGTTCTACAGTAAATTACCAAAAGAGAAAAGATAAAACAATAAAATAGATTAGCTCTCCAGTGTCATTGAGGTTCTGAAGATCATACTCAAACTTCATACGTTCAAATAATCACTACAATGTTCCTTGGCATGCACATTAGATGCTTAAATAAAGTGTTTGCAGCTTAAGAGTCGTGAGAAAGATAGTTACAATGCCCAAAAAAATGAAGCTATGAACAAAATGAAGAAATAAAAGGATTTTACCAAGATACAGCATACAGCGTGAATTAGTCTGATGTGGTCATATACTCAAATCATTATTGGGCATTCACAACATATGGTAAATCAAGAGTTTCAGAAGCAATTCAGAGAGGGAACTAATTTTTATTTTAAACATACATTTAAAAGCTTGAGGTTTAGTGAACAAGCAGCTTGTCGCCTTGCAGCATATTAAATATACAGCTAGACATTTATGGTTGCTTTTCTGTAGAAAGCAACTATAATGAATAGAACGGAGTTTGCTGAATTATAAGTTCCTTGACGACATATCTATTTTAAGCACACTCTAATCTACTACATTTTGGAAATAAATTTTAAATGACAACTAGCTAACATTTTTTATGAGCAGGATAAACTTCAACAACCTTATTCAGAGAGGGAAAAAAACAAACATCAACCACCTTCTCACGGCATTGAAATATATATACCATCACAACAACATATACGAAAAATAGCACATATACAGTGTTATTGACCATGTATATCTCATTCAAAGCACAAGAAAATTTGACAAAGCAGCAGTA